CATGCTGGTCAGAGATTTGTCAATCAGAGCCAAATCACCTGTTCATTTTCCAATTTTCTTCCCCTCTGGGATACCGGTTCTGGTCCTGCTGGGGTCTTGGTGTTCCCCGAAGGTGTTCCCATTAAGTGGGGATACCTATGTGCTGTTCCGTCTTCTCCTTTTTGGTCTGCCCAGCTCAGGGCCGCAGACACTTCCACCCATAATCATTTAATCCCACTGAAGCATACAGGCTAAGTGCCGGATTGGGAGTCAGGGTCTCTCCGGAGGCTTTGCGATTGGGCCGCGGCTCAAGGGTGACAGACGGCGCGGCCGGCTGTGAGCCGAGCCCCCCTAGCGCCAATTTCGGTCTCAGACACGCCAGAGAGGGAGCTGGCAGCCGCGGGGCGTGAAATGGTGCCCAGGGTGCCAACCTCAGTCGGCCAGCTTGCCACGCGTGTCAGGCGACATCGTTATTTGAATTGCAAGTTTGTGTATGGCCAGAGTTTCTACCCTTTTTCAGTCCCTGTGGCTTTGGTGGAACGTCACTCCCATTTTAACCGTGTCGGGCCTGCAATTTGTGTTCCAGAAAAACCGAGCGTGGCAGATGCAAGTGTCACCGCCGTAATAAAATATTTTTCAGCTTGTAATCGCAGTGCCGATCCCTGTGACAGCTTCCCGTTTCCAAAAGCAGCTAGGCAAAATAAAGGAAAGGCAGTAACTATCCTGGGATGACCCCCCCCCCTTAAAAAAAAACATCGCTCATTTCAAGCTATGGCTTTTATGGAATATGAATAATGCAGCGATTACATCATCAGGTGAAGCTTGCCGTATAAAAGCCCGGCTGCCTCTTGGGCTCTCAGGCACTGTCTTGCTGTGGTTTGTTGCTCCGTAAGACATCCCGCCCTGGACGCCTGCAGAAGGCGGACCGCAAGCTTCCCATCTTCCTTGTCCAGCCACATCTTCTGGTGTGGAGCTGGGCTGAGAGCACGCCCTGCCTAGAGAAGAGTCAGAGGGTGGTGGCGGGCTGTGGTGGTGCTCTCTCTCCCTCTCTCTTTCTCTCTCTTTTTCTATCTTTCTGCCCACCTGCTTCCCTGAGCTGCGGCAGCATCCAGGCGGATCCCGTATCCCCAGCGCCACGCAGCTTCTCTCCCGGGGGGTGAGTTCGGACCCCCTGCGGGAGCCTCTGCTGCTGCTCTTCAGCCCGGCCGTTCAGGTTTGGTTCTTTTCTCTGAACGGGACTCAGAAGTCTGTCTGCATTCATGGGGACGACCCGGATGAGTTTGCGCTCGGACAGACTTGATGTTGGCTAATGTGGTTCGGCGTTGGATGCGTTGCTGTGGAGACGTCTGCATTCGGGGGCTTTGAGTGGGATGGTGGCATCAACGAATGCGGCAAAGCTCTCCGCAGTCCCGACAGGGAATTTCTAGCGCGAGTTTGTGATCTTGGGAAAAAGTTTCTGTGTAGGTATTGATGGTGTAGGTCTGGCTGAAATTCCGTATGCTTTGTTCCATGGAACAGAGTAGTTTGTAACCGTTTTCATTGCTCCAGAGCCTGAGGTGTCCTGGAACGTGTGGGAGCCTCAGTTGTTGTGTAAACCGGCCACACGTTTTCCCGCCAGAGGATGGTCTGCATCCTTCGTCTAGCTCCGAATCCACATTATCTTTGCTAAATCTGCAAGCCACCCTCACAGACGAGTGCGGACAAATCAGAATAGTAGTTCATATAATTATGTTTTCTGTGGAAACAGAATCACAGAAACAGTGAGGCGCTCTTCTTTTCACTGAAGCTCACAATATCTAGCTAATAAATATTTACCGGCAGCCATGGAAAGTTCAGCTGCCTTCACGTTTACTCGGAAACTGTACATGTAATCAATCATAATTTTCCTATAGTTATACTTATTATTATTATCTGCCCTGCCTTGTGCCCTCTGCTGCCTGTGCTCTCCTTCAGAACTTGACTAGGATTTAGGATTTAAACATTTACAAGATGGATGGATGGATTTATTAAACTCAATGTATATAGAATATAGAACACATTGTACAATATATATCACATTTTGAATGCAGGTATTGAAAAAAGCGTTTTACCTGTACACTGTATCTATGTCATACCATTACCCGTCCCGCTGTGTCCTTATTAATGTGCACATCATCCATCCTCATTACACACACTGTCCAAAGCCCCTAGCGGGCAACAACCAACCTCCAAGAAGGTAAAAGAAAAAACACTGCGATTCCCTCTGTATCTAACGGGACGAGCGATTCATCGGATCGACGTTTGCGGAGAGTGACTCTGGTCTGTCTGTGGTTTTGGACCGCACCAGCCACAGCCAAACAGGGCCCGGTGATTTTGCTAGTCTGATGGTTTACAGGACTGTGTAAGGACTGTCAGCACTGACTGACTGGGCGTGCAGCTCCTGAAGCAGCCAGGACTGTGAAATGACGGTTTCAAACTTAAAATCACTAATTGCTAATTTAAAGGGCTTTTTTGGGGTATTAGGGCTTTTATGCAGTAATTACACTAATGTCACCGATTCTGTTAAAATTCTTCAGCAATCTGCTGAGCCTGCCGGAAGCTGAAAGATGGATTTTGTGATTTCCTTAATCATTAACCACTGCAGTCAGTGGAATTTGTCATTTTTGTGTCGTTGCTGAGATTTTGATTACCAGTGAATGGCGCGGTCCTGAAAAGATACCGAATCCTGTTATTAAATGATGCAACACTTGAAGGGATGCAGAAACCTTATAGCCGCTGGCATCCCCCTGAGGAATTTGCTGTGTGTCAGAGTTACTTCAAAAGACATTTCTGAGTTTGAGGAATGTGGCTTCTGCATTGAGCATATGGAGCAGAAATCGACTTGATGTCCGGGGTCGCTGTGGCCTGGTTTCAGCAGACCTTGGGAGCTCTGTCCCCAAATGCTCTGGGTGTTCCTCCAACCAGTCCATTTTTTACTTCAGGAGATGTGAGCACATCAAGGACCACCTTTTCGGGGCACAGAAGCCCAGAAGGTTTTTAGTAAATTCTTGCAAATAAATGTACCGGGCCTTTAAGACCTATTCTTTACCAGGATTGGTCGATGCTCACGAGCCATTTAGATATTTAAGCTGCCTTGACGATGGCTTGTTAAAATGCAGCCTACACTTCCTCCTTCTTTGAATGTGATAAGTAGATCCTCAAGCATCTTGTCGAGAGGTAAGAGGCTGCCAATAAAAGGTTAGCTGCCATTTGACTGTCCACCTGTACAGCAGAGGGCGCTGTTCAAATGACCATCAAGGCAGACAATAGTTTCATTTATCGTGTAGTTTCTAGTCAGCCTGTAACTCTATGATCAGAGCTCCTTCTGTGACCTCCATGTCCTGCCTGGACACTATTAAAACCTGGAGAACTTAAAGCAGTGGGAATGTGACTCTTTTCATAGTGTATCACCCCGCATCTCCCGTGCAGGCCAAGCTGTCTCTGTAAATGTGCTAGCGCCGCCCTGCTGGCTATCACGAGTAAGTCACAGTCCCCATTTTCTGCTTTTCTTTGTGTTCTGCTACCTCCTTTTGTCTTGTTAGAATTATAAATTATAAAAGGGGAGGGGGTGGGGTCTGCTGAACCGGAACTGACTGGGTTGCGGCCCCAGTGCCGAACACTCTTGATGCCCATGCTGTAGGTGTCGGCCCCATTGGCTAAAACCGGGAGGGGCGGGGGGGGACGTCTGTCTTATGAAATATACAGAGCTGTGCTTTCCGGGCTGCTAAATATAGACGTCCGGACAGTGCCGGAAGGATCCGCGGATGCTGTGTTCGTGTGAGGCTGTGTGTGAGTCGTCCATGGCTGTTTGAGGTGAATTATCAGTCAGCCCTCCTATCCATCCGTCTTAAACGATTAAATGAGAAACATTTATGGGGGCTCCCTGTTAATGAAAACTTTTGGGGGGGGGCGTTATCAGAGGATCTCAAGCTCATTTTCTGGATCAGGTGTTTGATCCAACTCATCATTTTAATGACAAAATTTCACCCTCTTTTTACATAGTGTTTTTTAAAATCATACTGTACATTTGATATAAGCCATATTTAAATGGACTCTTGATTCCCATCTGGCCGTAATATTACAGAAACGCGTGACTATAATGTAAATGTATGGTCATGATACAGATCGTTAGTGACTAATTGGACCAGTGAGGTATGGCTGACATTACACATCGCCCCCCCCAGGACCCATAACACAGACCCCCAGTGTAAGTCTCCTCAAAGGAGGCTTCTGCCATATGCATGGAGCCTGCAGGCCCTCGTACCTCCCGGAGGGTGAGCAGCCAGCTCCTCCCGTCTCCCCAAAACCTGGCTGGGGGGCCTAACCCCCCCCCCCCCTCCCATTATCAACACGACTGGCTCTGACTTCCCCCAAGACACGACCGGAGGTTTGGCTGGGAGATGAGGAGATAAGCCCCCCTCCCTCAGATGTTAATTAAGGTTGAGCAAACC